TTTTTAAAAAGCACTTAAGAGATTAGCCAGACTGATCTATGAGGCTCAAATAAATCAAAATTGCCACTTTATATTTACTAGCTGGCAATAAAGGAATTTTTTTTTTTCTCTAAGGAAGAAAGGTAAATAAGAACAAAGTATCTAGATGAGGGAGGGAGTTAGTTATCCTACAAGTTATCAGCTTTTTTCCACAGACAACCCAAAGCTATCCAGTTAACTTAACTCCACTGTCTTACAGCTCAAAATATGCAACAGAAATCACTGAAATAAAACCATTAAAGATGGCAAAACCATTCTGGTGGCATCTATAAACAAACTACACAACACTTAGGCCATGCCAGCAGCTAAGAGGCTATGAAATAAAGAATGTACTCTTTCATCCTTTGCTCATAGACTACGTAAAGCGCTCCATTCCCTATCTATAAGATGAGGTAAGTTGTAAGACTGTGGAAATTTATTAGTGGTGCTCTATGGGAAAAGTATTTTATCCATACCTTGCTTTGATTCCAAGCCTTCTGGTTGTTTGTTCTCCCTCACGGATGAAGTAGAATCTACACAGGTGTCTTGCCTAAACAATGAAAATAAAAACAATTTTTAAAACCATATTCAAATAAAAACTTAATGTCCAAGTTCTTAGAATGAAGTAAGGCACTTAGGAAGGCACAATGGATTCTTCTGAGCCTCAGGGCGTAATTTAGTAGTCAGAAGATGAATGTCAAAATCAGCAGTTACAAACTACTACCAAATTTAAGCAACGTATTTTTTTGTAAAATCAAGGGACAAACTAGATGAATATGGAGGCAATTTTTTTCTCCTGATACTCTGCAGGGTAGTTGATGGAAGAAATCACAACTCACAGCAGTATCCAATAATTTTTCAGTTTTTAACAGTTAAACTTAATGGGCATTTTAGCATCCAAATTACTTTATATTCATCTAATTTCATACCTCAAATGCTTTGATGTCTACAGTATGTGGGAAATATGTATTTTATATGTAATATACATATGTAATCAAAGTAAATGGATTAAATGTAAGAGCATGCAAAATGTTTCAATTCACTATCTGCAACAGAGCTGCAAATCCAACTCAGACTTCTCCTAAAACAGCATTATACCACCTTAATATTAATGCCACAAATAGCTTTCCTGCAAAAAGTCAGGTAATCATTGCCTTCCGAGAATATTATGACTATCCTAAAAGGAACACACTATAAATATTAAGGAAATCTTCCAGGTCACAGAACTATCTCTAGGGGCTGGAGAGATGGTTCAGTTATTAAGAGCACTTACTGCTCTTCCAGAAGACCTATTTGATTCCCAGTACCCACCACATCAGGTGGCCCACAAGGGCCTGTTAACTTCACAAATGCCCTCTTCTGGCCTCCACTGGTATCACATTCACATGGACAACCCACCCCACTCCAACACACATGTAATTTTTTAAAATAAAAATAAAATCTTTTTTAAAAGTTGTTTGGAGCTGAGTGTGGTGGCATATGCCTTTAATATCAACACTAGGGAGGCAGAGGCAGGTGGATCTCTGTGATTTTAAGTACAGCCTGGTCTACATAGCAAGTTCCAGGACAACTGGGGCTACAGGGAGATCCTGTCTCAAAAACAAAAAAACAAAACAAAACAAAACAAAACAAAACAAAACAAAAAAAAGCATTATTTGGCTTCAGTATTGTTACTTCTGTGAGACTTAAAATTGCCACAACTCCATTTCTTATACCTCTGTGTTATCTAATATTAGTCATCTACTCAGATTTCATTCTTGAACTATAGAGACTGGCAGGTAAAGAGTAGGGTATCAAAAAATTCTCCTTGGCAGTCCAGGGACAACAATACAGAGACAACAATATACTACCTCAAGCACTCCAGTCAAATCAGGTATTATCTACTCAGAGCAGTAAGTATCAAACCTCAAAGAAAACGTGTTAGCTTTCATGCATCCTCAAGTGGCACGTAATTTTTGTCTATACACATATGCCTAAATTTACAAAAATATACACATATCAAAATATGACATGGTGCCCCATTAAAATCTGTAATTTTTGTGTTTTTAAAATCTTTTTTAATTTTTTTTTATGTATATGAGTGTTTTACCTATATAAATATAAATGGGCCATGTACATGCAATCCCCATGAAGGCAGAAGAGGACACCGGATCCCCTGAAACTAGAGTTGGAGCTACGGTTGTCGGTTGCCATGTGGGTGCTGGGAAGTGATTAGGGCCCTCTAGTAGAGCAGTAAGTGTTCTTAACTGCTAAGCCATCTCTCCAGGCCCAATTTTTGTGTCTTTAAACATCAGTTCAATTTAACCAAAATAAAATTTTAAAGACAACACCACAATATAATATAATATCACCAGTAAAAGGCTTACAGGACATATGTAATACTCTACAAAAGATACATCATCTATGCAATCTAGCTGAGAATGTATAATATATATTATGAAGAATCATCAGTCAAACTCACAGTTAACATGAGTAATGTTCTACTAAGGGGAGTTCAATGTCAGTGTAACGAAAGACAAAAGGCTATGGGACTATTCCAGGTTCAAAGAGTCTAAACAGCCATGACAATTAACTATCATAATTGGCCTGAGACTGCTGAACTGGAAGAGGAATAAAAACTGAACTAAACTGAATCAAAAAGAGAAACTGAAATACTGATGGTACACTAACAGCATTTTATGAATGTTAAATTTCCTGAAATTGATGCTCATGGTTATATAACAGACTATGATCATTATTAGGAAAACACAATGCAGTATTTAGGGACAATGTCATGATGTGAGTGACTTATGCCTCAAATGTTTCACACACAAAAGAATACATAAGTAAGGCCTGCAGGATGGCTCAGCAGTAAATGTGCCTGCCACCCAAGCTTAACAACCTTAGTTTAGTCCTGGAACCCATACAAAGGTGGAAGGAGTGAATAGACTCCACAAAGTTGTCCTCTGACCACCACATGTATGCCATGGCACATGTGTGCATACACACAATAATAAAGGTTTTAAAGGTACACATGTGTATGTAAATAAAAAGTGTGCAAATGGGATAAACTGTTAATAAGTGAATCTGGATAAAGGGCATGTGGGTGCCCCTGCAGTACTCTCTTTTTACATTGTGGTGAGTCTAAAAGTATTTTCAAGTAAAATGTTCAAGTAATATGAAATAAAAACTGACCAAAACCTTGTATAACCTTCAAATGTGACTCTATAAAGATTAGCTACTGTTATAAACAATTTATTTGAATGCCTAATGAGAATTTACATCAAATTTTAACAAGTTACATTTGATCAGTTGCTGAAGTCACTGAACAGAATTTCAGTTGGTAGATACATACCACCACCCTGTGGCAGAAAAGTGGAAACAAAGATTGAAAAAAGAAATTAAAAAGCCACCCCAAACCCAACAAGCACTCCCTCAAAATAGCTTTTAATAGTCTAAAATTTAAACGTGAGTATAAGCAGAGCCTCCTGATCCATACCTGAATCCCAGTGCTCAAGAGGCAGGGAAAGGAAGACTGATAGTGTGAGGCCAGCTCGCTCTACACGGCTACAGGCAGTCAGGGCTACAGACAGGGAACCTGTCTAAAAATAAATAAGCAAGCAAATAAACAAACAAAAATAAAAACTAATACTAGAAACATTTTTTGAAGATGTAGACCTTATAAACTAAAATCATCATATAGGCTCAGCTCTTTAACACAGCTTGAAGGTCTCCATTAAATAGTATGAAAGGTAAGCTATTTTTTTTTTACTTTTTTTTTTTTTATGTGTATGAATGTATTGACTCATGTATGTAAGTGCACCCGTGTCATGCAATGTCACGGAGATCAGGAGGCGGCTTCAGATTCCCCTGGAACTGGAGTGAAGGACAGTTTGTAGCCACCATGTGGGTGCTGGGAATCGAACCCAGGTCCTCTGCAAGAGCAGTCAATGTTCTTAACTCCTGAGCCATCTCTCCAGGCCAAGCTATTTATTTTTTAAAACATGTGGGTTTTTTTTTTTTTCTTTTTCTTTTTGTTCTTTTTTGAAACAGGGTTTCCCTGTAGCCCCAGATGAGCTGGAATTCACTATGTAGACCAGACAGACTGGCCTGGATCTCATAGAGATTCACCTATCTCTGCCTCCAAAGTGCTGGGACTTAAGGGCATGAGCCAGTATGCCTGGCAAAAAAAAAGTATTAGAAAATATAAGACAACTTTACAACATGCATGTGTTTTTGTTCTAGTTTCATGGGAAAAAAGGTCTACTGTCAGATGATAAAATATGCTAGCCCCCCCAACTATGAAAAAATAAAACAATTCCAATTTATACTTAAATGTCTGTACTAACACTTTAAGAATATTACAATGAAACAATTGGAAAGTGGAAAGGGTTAGGGAGCAGACACATGACAGAGCCAGTTCGGCATAGCAATTTTGCAGGTAATCTCTGTGATCCCTTCCACTTAAAACAAACTAATAACGTTAATTTTATTTTTTTATTTTCTCCACATGCATGCGCCTTCTTTAGCACAGCTTAATTTATAATCGGAGCTTTTCTATGAGAGGACCCTATGTGTATTCCCCTAAATATGAGTTCTCAATGGTGTCAGTCCAAGTCCCTTCACCCAACACCACTCTCCCCTTCCTTACAGTTCCAAGGATTTTTATTAAATGAGATTAATACATTGGGGGGCTGTACTTAAGAACTACATGTGTGAATTAATAAGAATTTTTAAATATAATTATTTTTTAATTTGTGTGTTTGTGTGTATATCTATGTGTGTGTATGCATGTGAATGTGGGTGTCAGAGGCCAGAAGATTAGTTAGACTCCCCCGAAGCTGGAATCACAGATGCCTGTGAACTGCCTGACGTGGATGCTTGGAACTGAACTGGGTTCTCTGTAACAGCAGCAAGCACCTCTCTAGGCCTTAAAATATATTTCTAAATGGAGAAGAGGAACAAGGAAACTAGAAAAGGGACAGTCTTTGAGTAATGCTGTTAGTAAATTAAAAACTTATGGGTATGATTTTTAATCCATAGTTTATACCATATATAAGTATTAATTCATAATGGATAGAGACCCAATGTGCAAAACTGTACAACTTTTAGAAGTCAGAGGAAAAAATTCTAGTGATGCTAGGATAGGCAAAGATGTCACCAGAAACATAACCAGGAGCTGGCCAGATAGCTCAGCAAGGAAAAGCACTTGCTTCACAAGCCTGAGCGCCATCCCTGGATACCATAGCTGAGGAGAACCAACTCTTGAGGACTGTCTTCCAACTTCCACATGCATACACACCTGAATTCACACACACACACACACACACACACACACACACACACACACACACAATGATTGTTTAAATGTTTTCAAACATGATCTATGAATAGAAATAACTGGTAAGTAGGATTTCACCAGAATTTACTTCTTCTACTCTTCTAAAGAGACCAAGACAATGAAAAGTCAAACCATAGACTGCAGAAAATATCTGCAAGCCACATATCTGCTCAAGACATGTGTCCTGCCAGCTGTGCTAGCACGCACCTGCAATCCCAGCTACTCGGGAA